AATGGTTGACAGCTATTAAAAGAGATAATTTCACTCCTACTAGTAGTTCTCGGGTAAGAAGTGCATTAAATATGCCTCACAAAGGCCAAAGCCTTTGTTACCCTACTGAGGATGTAGTTATGGCTACACTGCTTACACTTACCTCACTATAAGTAAAATATTGGAAGAATAATCAAGCTTTTTACATCAAAAAGGTCACAGAAAGATATTGACAACATTCACATTTGAAAATATAAATGGCCTGCCTGGATTTGGTTTAAGTCACAATTGCCCCTCACATGCGTCAGAATTTATTATTAAATCCATCTTGTTCAGAATATCCAATATTTTATTGAAGAACTATGCAAAAAAAGGAATGACGTTATAAAAAGGTATTTAGTTTTTTTTTCTATATAAAATCTTGAAACACATATTATATTTTTTAGTTATCCTCACCTATTATAGTTTAAATTTATTCCCATTTGTGTAATGCTGCTAAACATAGGAAAAATATTCCATATTTTTTGACCCAGTGTAGTTTATAATTCCAAGAGCATTTACCAAGGCTTTTACTAAGACAAGTAACTTACTATACTGTCCATAATAGTATATATTTATCAAACGTGTAGTAAATTCTAAACTATGGTAGGTAAGTGTTTGCAATTGAATATTTAGTTTATATTGCTATTTTCTGTTATATATTTCTGGTTATTTCTTTTTCCGATGATTTTGAACACCCTATCTATGCTACCTCAAGTTTGAATATTTACACACTAGTACACTACCTACCTATTTTCTGAGAAAACAGACCTTTTTATAAAAAGTTACTAACTGATGTTTTCATAAAAGTAATAATACAAAAAATTCCATACTTATGTGGAGAGCTTTAGACTCCCTTTATATTAAAAAATTAGTGAAATATTACGTAATCTAACCCGACATTTGTGTGAAAAATGTCTATTTGGAAATAAAACAGGTTTTAAAATACGCGCCAAATAAAGCACTTCTATCTCCGCCATATTGGAAAAGGTTGAATGGCCTTGTGTGGAGGTGGTGGTGGGTCAGCATGGTGGCCCGGCCGTGTTGCCGCTTTTCAACATGCCCGGTGTGACGTATTAAAAATAAAGTGCGGATTTTTATTCCGGGCTTTTTTGTTTTTATTTATTTTCTTAAGAACGACTTCAAATTTTTCGAAAGTGAGATAGCAGAAAATTCTAGAATTAATTGCTTTATTCAATTATGCTAATTCCAAAATATAGCGAAAGAGCCCATTACTTCATAATTCTCTAGTTTATTGTTGTAATTTACTAGCAAAAATACCGCACTTGTTTTACCAAATTTTATGTGTTATTGTTTTCTCCAACGTAAGTTCTGTTATTAGGTACTGTTGTCAAAATAAAACTGAATTTATCCCATGGTAAAAACAAATAGTTTTGGTATGTTAGTCAATCAATCAGTCCAATCATTCAGTCAGTTCAAAATCATTTAAAAAACTATCTATATTTTACAGTTACTTTATTATTGACATTACATACCCTGTTTGTACGTCTATGGTACAAAAGAAAGTGATTTTTAGGAAAGTTATATACGCCGTTGCCAAATAGTGATTTGGCCGAATCTTTATTAATGCAAAACAAACAATTAAATTACGCAAACAAACCAAAGTTCATTCTATCACTTATTCTAAAAATGATCTTGTTAAAATTAGTATTGATAACCAATTAATAGGCAATATAGATTTCGTACAATAGTTCATCGAATTCTTTGGATTTTATTTTGATATATTCTACAGTATGTCCCCGAATTGCCTTTACAGGAGGAAAAACATTTTAAATAATAATAATAAAAAAAATTAAACTTTTTAAACATATTATTGGACATTTTGAGAAATATATGCTCATTGTTCTAAAATGCTTAATCGCTTTTATACTTTTTCAAATTTCCATACCGGTTTAGAGAAAATTAAAAAAAATCATGAAAATATTGTTAAATTTTTTCGAAGTCCTAAAAATTATAATATAATTTCGTTTTCATTCTTTGTTAGATCGTTATTGATAGAATTTTAATTAATTTCATATTTTTTACTGTTTTAAAATGTTAAAGAAACACAAAATTTATTTGGTTCAATGCTATGGAAAGGGTTTTTTGATTTTTAGGACATCATTGCCTTAGGAAAAAATTCAACCATATTTTCATGTTTTTTTTTATTTTCTTTAAAACTGTATGGAAATTAGGAAAATCATAAACCGGATTAATCGTTTTAGAACAAGCACATTTTTTTATGAAGAATGTATTTTTCTGAAAATGTCAATAATAAAAAAGTTTTTCCTCGGGTAAAGATCCGGGACATACAGTATAATGACAGTAAAAAATAATCATTTTAATAATAAAATGCCTGTCAACTATAATTTAAGTTGTTTTGTAAAATACCAGAGGAAATGTCATTTTAACGGTATAACAGAGACTCATTTTAAAAATAATTATTTCTACTATTATTTATTTTTAGTGTGCTCAGTAACCAGAAAATAATTCTGCAAATTTTCCGTATATGTATTTTCTTTGTTTGATGTCTTTTAACACAGATAAAACTATTTCGAAAAAAATCTTGGTAAGCTTAAAGGAAAATTTCTTTGTAAAATCTCTTTGAAAGTTGAGTTTTTTTTCTTGTTTCATCGTTTTCATATTTTTTTTATTCCAACTACGGGGTCAATTATACAGGGTTGTTTACCACATACGACACGGAGTATTGTAGCTAAACGATGAGATTTTTACAAATTGTAAGTTTTGGGTTCGATGAAGGACTATTAGAGGTACAATTTAAAAATAATTTTACAAGATACAGAGTGTCCCAAATAAGTAAAAAATATCAAAGTTGTATTTTTTTAAATTTGATTAAGGTTTATTATACTTAAACCTTACCGTTTTTGAAATATTTTCAATTTTGTGAAATTGCAGTAAAAATTTTAAGGCTTCATTTCTCCAAGGGTATCAAAGTTTTTAATACTAAATATTTACTGAAGTTTATTTATTGATCAGTTATTTTGTTGCAATAATAAAAATAATACTACCTTATACAGAGTGCCTAAAAATTTATTTTAAATAATTATTAGCTTCAAACGGCAATAACTTGTTTAATTTAAATGGAACACCCTGTATATTTTACGAGAATCAGATGCACAATTTAATTGTCTATCAAATTATATCATACCATTTTTTACCTATCTCTTTAAGTTTCCGTAGAAAATGTATTTTCTTGTAATTTAGAACTTATTTATTAATATACCCATGGACTATTGACATTTTAGATTATTTTTAAAGATGTACCAAATTTTTAAAGAGTACATATACTAATATTGTCGATATAATTACTTTATTTCATTAAAAAATAAAAAAACTGTTTAAATATTTGTTAAAGAGGACCAATTAATATGATTCCAGTATTCAAACTACATTAACTGACTGTTTGCGTTGATTAATAATAATTGCTCCAAATACTAAAAAACTGAATTTTGTATGGGTATTAGACAGTGTGATAAAAAGTAACACTTTAAAAATGATATTTCATTTTTTAATAAATGCTTATTTAGAACAACAAAGACTTTAATTTGATAACTTATTATTATATTGATTTCTGACTCAAAAATCCACATTTATTTAGAATAATTTATAAACGAACACAATTAAGTATGTAATTAATTAGTATATGGGCGGAAATAATGGTGTTATATTTAATTAATGGTATACTCTTTTATAAAGATTTAAATAGTTTTCTTTTTGCATACAAATGGGCTAGTAATATTATCGTTTTGCTAAAAACGATAATATTACTAGTCTGTACATTTTGTACATTTGTTGCTTTAAAACAATCTAAAATGTCAATATTCCATGGATATATTGATAAATGAGGTCTAAATTATAAGAAAATGCATTTTCTACGAAAACTTGAAGGGATAGGTAAAAAATGGTATAATACAATTTGATAGACAATTTAATTGTGCATCTGATTCTCCTAAAATATACAGGGCATTCCATTTAAATTAAAGAAGTTTGCAGTTTGAAGCTAATAATTATTTAAAATAAATTTTTAGACACTCTGTATAAGGTAGTATTATTTTATTATTGCAACACAATAACTGATCAATAAATAAACTTCATTAAATATTTAGTATTAAAAACATTGATACCCTTGGAGAAATGAACCTTTAAAATTTTACTGCAATTTCACAAAATTGAAAATATTTCAAAAACAGTAAGGTTTAAGTATAATAAACCTTAATCAAATTTACCTTTATTTTAATCGTAGAAACTAAAAATGTAATAATATACAGGGTGTTCCATTTAAAAAAATACAACTTTGATATTTTTTATTTATTTGGGACACTCTGTATCTTGTAAAAATATTTTTAAATTGTAGCTCTAATAGTCCTTCAACGAACCCCAAACTTAAATTTGTAAAAATCTCATCGTTTAGCTACAATACTCCGTGTCGTATGTGGTGAACAACCCTGTATATCTGTTGTAACGTCTGTATCTTTCATTTGTTAAGAGAATGAAAAAAAAATTGCAATGGATTTTAAATCCAGTGCCCTTTTTATTACACAGAGTGTCAAAAATATGTTTTATTTACTTTGGCGAAGGATGTAACTCCCTCGGGAAGGATTTTAGTGCATATGTCCATAGGAACTTTTTGTTTTATGGTTTTTCTGCTGGATCATCGACGGAAGTTCATTTTTAAAATAAAAATCACTGGATATATTCCTAGTAATAACAATATCATTGCTATTTGTGTTAGAAGTCCTGTATAGAATTATGTATCTATTATCTTATAGTCGAAGGTTCTCTTAACATTAGGATCGTTTAATCTGACTTAGTCCAAAAAAACCTGCGTGACATAAGAATATGAAAAATATTCATTATTCAATAAGAAACCGTTGTAGAGATCAGTTGTTGCTATTAAAATACTTATTTGCCCGTGAACAATGTTATTATTTGTCAATAATATTATTATTTTTATTTTACAGAAACCAAAGAAATTCTGCATGGTGTTTCTGGTACTTTCAAGTCAGGAGAATTGTCTGTGATAATGGGTCCTTCAGGTGCCGGGAAAAGTACTCTTCTGAATGTTTTAGCTGGATTTGTGTAAGTTACTCTATTTAATATTATTTATAATGATTTATCAAGGGCTTATATGATATATTTGTTCACCAAGGGCTTATGTAATATTTTAAATTATACGTACAACAATCATGAACTTCGTTATTAAACTTTTTTTATAAAAAAAATAGCAACCCAACATTTTTTTATTATTCGTCTCAGTATATAAATTTGAGTGGGGGGGGGGGCAAAATTTAAATGACAATCATTGGTATTTCCTACTTTCGATCATATTTACCAAAAAATATAAATATTCACATATTTATTTCTTTAAAAATTAATTCAACACTTGCCAAATTCAAAACCGCTTTTTTAAGAGATCTCTTTGTTTTTTTATATAAAAAATTACCATAATTTATGTTCCGTATTTTGCAAATTCCAAAAAAGTCAGATATAAATTATTATACCTGTTTCTTGGTATTTTTAATGATTTAAGTAAGTGTTATAGCATAGCATTTTATTAATGTTTTAGATTCTTAAAAAATGTGAAGTAAATAAAAAAAACGAACATGTTTTTAGCATAATTGGCATCCTGGATCTATATTTGTTTCTAACTAAAAATGGTAAATTTAACAGTTTTTTTTTGGAACAAAGCAATTAAGTTTTAGTAAAAAACGTCTAATTTTCGTATAGCCATGGGAATGACATTGAACTAGAGTAATTTTAACGAAATTAATTATTTACTTAAGAATGCAAATATTACTTTAACCTTTTATTTTAGTTAATTTACATACATAACTCGGTCTTTAGTGTCAAATTTCTTATTCTATTGATCTAAATGAAAATGAACTAGAAAATCCTAATGCTAATTCAATCATCCTTGTTTATTACATAACTACAAGACTATATTCTTGTATTCTCCTTTATATACGTGTTATCGACGCCTATGATCCTTATAATAGGCAGTCATTTTCACGCCGTGCCTGCACCCCATGGTACAAAGAATACAAGGTATGATATTGCGCAGGTTGGTCGCTACGTCACAGGTGATAACAGGCGCTATTGGTCAGCACGCTCCGCGCGCCAGTTCAAATCGTCAAAATATTGTTATAAACCTGTTTTTTTTGTTTATATACCGTCATTGAATTATCGCTAAGCAAGTTACTGTGGAGCAGTGCATAAGGAGTCGGGCTAGGAAGCGAGAGACCGGAGTTCGAATCTCGGCCGGAACATCACTTTTTATTTATTTTTTTAAATACTGTTGTATTCTATAGTTTATTTTTGTAGTATAAAAAAGAACTATTTATTCTGTTATTTTTAATCTTCGTTATTAATATAAATTGATTGTTAGTACAATACCTCATTTAATATAAAATAATATTCTACTTTTTGAAATGTATCGGGCCCTAATTGTACCTAAAAGTAATATATTTTTAGTGATATACCATATTGTAAACTATTTAATATTTTAGTCACTTAAAAAGTTAATTTGCATTGAATAATTGCCTACCATTAAAGGAAATTTGAGCTATATAATCCTTGATGGGCATATTCTGGGTATGCAAATACTTCCTTTAAATTTTGGGTGTCGTTCAACCGATTTATTCTCAAAACCAGAAACTTCTACATATAAAAAGAAGCAGAGGTCACTAATTATAATAAACTTCACCCTTGGTATTACTTCCACTAATTATAATAAACTTCACCCTTAGAATTACTTCTATCACAATTACAATACGTTCATCTGCATTGGCATTTTCTACTTTTCGATGGGAAACAATAAACTTCCCAATATTTTTTAAATGATGTAACAATTCCTCTTGTGGTTACTTTTCCATAGATATCCTCAACTCTGTCCTCATGTGAATTCAGAGGCAATGAAAATGAAAATTATTTACCATAAACATCGCAAACTAAAAACCTAATAAACAATTTTATACCGAATATAGAAATAAATTCAGTATTCTTACCTATCGTCCAAATCCATGTTAATAGATAATTATTATTTTTAAATATATTTTTGGAACTGCTGGTTTTAGTAATTATTAAATTAAACGAACTAAAAAGTCTTAAAAATAAACAATTCTTAACCATAACCCCAAAAATGCAGATCTCCTGTCAACTTTCTTTATTTTTTATTTATTCATTATTTTCCTAGTGACGTCACAGGTGGTATGCGCGAACTGAACGAAATTGGAGCCGCTATCGATCATACCTTGTATTCTTTGTACCATGCCTGCACCCCGTGTCCGCTGATGTTTGCGAGTGGCGGAGTAGTAGGCTTTGGAAACAGTTGAATGTCAGAGATTGTTGATTTCGGCCCAGAGAAGACATTGTTTGTCAAGCTAGTTAGAATTAAATTTAAAATATCAATTTCTGTTAAATATATTAATCTCCCGATTACATCAGAAGTGGCGATGAGTTTAATCCAGCGTTCTTAGGCCGTACAGGCGTATTTCTGACTTACTGACGACTACTGACTTGACTTTGACCTCTAGTGCTCGAAAATATTAGCGGAAAAAAATGCAGTGCTGGAAAGAAGCGTCATATCACCCCTACAAGTTACAGACTCCGGAAGATAACAGGAAAAGGTAGTGAGCCAACACATTATCTGAACAAATCTCTTCTAAAAGGTATTTTAAAAATGGCTATAAAAAAAAATCGAGATAAATACTAAGGTAATTACAAGCATAATTATAAGATAAATTCTAAGGCAGTATTTTTATACAGTAAAAATTGTTGTCATGGAGACAGATTTCAGTTTTTTTAAAGTAATTGTTCGGATTTTCGGATTTTTCGATTTCGGTGATATGAATCGCCTCGTGGTTCAAGAGGTCTCAAAGAGAGGGCGCTACCGTAGTCGGTTGATAAGGGTCGATTTCGCTTGCGAAAGAAGATGGCTGCGAACCTCAGCACAAACAGACAATTTTTCACGTAAAAAGTAAAATTTTATTGTTAAAATTAAAAGTTAATTAAATATCTATCTATGGTCCTCCTGAGGAATAAAATTTCTAGAGTTATGTGTTATTTAGTATATTAGTTATGTTGAATATGTGTTATTTTATTCTCATTAAACTTCTTGATCAAGCCGAAACGTGGAACAGTGGTTTTCAAACATGATTTTTATTTTTTGTGCGTTGAAATATTTTGTTGAGCTTTTTAATTAAAAATATTAAACAAAAGTCGAACAGTAATTTAATAATTTCATTGTTTATTATGTAAAAAAATATATCAAGTATATACAGGTATATTCAAGACTTATGTGGAAAGGTAAAAAAAGTCTTAAAAGTTTTTCAGAAGTACCTACTATCGATTGTTTCATAAATATATAATTTATATTTTTCATATATACATTTTTTTAATTATACCCCATTTTACTTATTACCTATTTTATTACTTTAAGTTTAGTTATAGATATTATTAATATTTCAGCTATATTTTTAATTTTTCTTACATTTTACTGAAACTTTCAACTTTAGGTAGTCTAGTATTGCTATATCAGTAATATACTAGGTATTACATGAATGTACTTGGTAATTATCTTTAGTGATTAGAAATACTAGAGAGAAATAGTAGGTATATAAAATTTAAAGTTAAACATTTGTGAAATCAAACGTTTATTAAGGCATAATATTTATTATAGACACCTCATAATCCTTCTAGTACCTATACACGCATTTTCGATCTAATATTTGAAAATAGTTTAAGAGATGCTGTTTTTAACGTAGTCTTTAAGAAAGTTATTTTGTTTTGTACCTATTTATGTAGTTGAATAAATACATGGTTGTAGAAAAGTTAAATAGGTTCCGAACGTCAGGTTTTGCAAATTCACTGGAGAATTATATCAAAAATTCACATAATTTATAAGTATTACATTAGTTTTTCAATTATAATATAATTTTAACCACCTCATTATATTTCAGAGTTTTTCAGTTTAATTCAGGTATTTCACTAGTATTTCAAGAACTTTATTCTTCGTATACGCCATATTTAATAGCAAATAACCCTTCGAGTAGTGTTGTAATAAATTAACACATAGTGAATGTTAAAAAAGTTGTGTAAAATTTTGTAGAAGATGAGAACGATGCGTTTATTAAAGTATACAGGGCTACTTTTTAATAAAAGTGTAATTTCTTTTAATTAGAAATAAATGTAAATGTCTAGATGGGTAAAATTCTAGGCGCCAGAGTACTATTATATAGTAATTTTCACAACACGCTGTAGATATCTTGAAAACAAACTACTAAAGAACGACATAAAATAAATATTCTCGGAAATAACATATTGTTTCGGTAAAAATTTGTATACGTATATAGTTATATAACTAGCAAATCCGATTATCTTAATCTTATATAAAATGCATACACTTTTCATATTATGCGTAAACAAAAATAAATAAAGCGGTAATATTATTTTAATTCAAAATACATAAACTAAGCTACCTAGGTATGTACTTAAATCTTTATGCGACGTTAATATATGAGTTTTACAACCCCGAATAAAGTAATCATTTAGGGATACCCTTTTACCTATAGAAAACGAATACTTTCAATATAAAGTAGCCATATCTCACTACCTGAATACTGTTTGACATCCACGTGGAATTGGACAAGTAGAGAGGCATAATCTCTAGTATGTGTAACAAGTTGCCTTACGATATCTAGGTTGAAAATGTTTCAAACATTCAGTTTGGATTGTGTGGAATCTAAGCACTAGGAGCAAAATGAGCGTATCTGGACAAGTTGAGTTTATCCCTCCGGGCGTAAATGATCGACTTTAGCGAGTTTCGGCGTAAATTAGTAGCGAATTATGCGAAACATCAGCGGACACGGGGTGCAGGCACGGCGTGAAAATGACTGCCTATCATAAGGATCATAGGCGTCGATAACATTATCATAGGCGTCGATAACATACGATTTCCTTTATTTAGTTTTTTTAAAAGGCTACTACAATGCCGTTTTTTTTATTGTGGTCCTCTTCTGATCCTCATTGATACTCTCACCCAAAGTAGCACTAGTTTAAAATTGCGATCTTCATGAAATCCAGTTTGTGTTTGTGTGTTCATTTATTTATCTAAATTATTGTAAAAATATTGCTATAATTTTTTATTTTTTCCTTTTTTAGGACAAAAGGCAGTACTGGTGATATCTGCCTGAACGGTGTCCAGCGCACTGACAGTCCACGTTTCAGGAAACTATCTGCCTACATTCCTCAGGACGAAGAAGTGCGTCTAGCTTTGACTGTCATGGAAGCCATGACATTTGCTGCTAATTTGAAGCTAGGGTACTCAGTTTCAAGACAGTACAAAATGCAACAGGTATGTATTACCAATAAAAATAAATAGTGGGATATTATTACAGTTGAGGGTTGGAACCTTTGGTGTTACACAGCAAAATAAAAACACTAAATCACCACAATACACCAAAACACTTTTACTTTTACACTGGACGCGCGTTTTGCTAACCATGTTAGCATCATCAGCAGATGATTATAAACTAAAGTACAAACTACAAGTTGAGCGTTTATATACTCGCTCAGTGGGCACCGAGTGGGTGTAGCAAAATCTAGCCAACGGAGTCAGAGCCCACTGAGCGTAACAGTTAGATTTCCGCCACTAGAGTAGTAGGAACAAAGAACTTGAAGGAATTGGACCGTTGTCTCTGTTCATACTATCTTTACATTTATTAATTCTGATGCTTTCATATGCATCCAATTGCCTGTAACTTGAGACTGGTTTAATTAATTTTAAATCATTAAGATCTATATATGATAAAGAACATTGTATAGATCTTAATAATTTAAAATTAATTAAACAAGTCTCAAATTACACGCAATTAGATGCATATGAAAGCATCAGAATTAATAAATGTAAAGATAGTATGAACAGAGACAACGATCCAATTCCTTCAAGTTCTTTGTTCCTACTACTCTAGTGGCGGAAATCTAATTGTTACGCTCAGTGGGCTCTGACTCGGTTGGCTAGATTTTGCCACGCCCACTCGGTGCCCACTGAGCCAGTATATAAACGCTCAACTTGTAGATTGTACTTTAGTTTATAATCATCTGCTGATGATGCTAACATGGTTAGCGAAACGCGCGTCCAGTGTAAAAGTAAAAGTGTTTTGGTGTATTGTGGTGATATAGTGTTTTTATTTTGCAGTGGGATATTATACAAGGTGACATTTTGAAAAGTAGTAATCGAGAATGTGTATTAGATAAGAAATACCGTATGACCGAAAAAAAACGGCGTTCAGTTGGCTTTGTCCTAACGATCCTGCCTACGACATATCCTCAGTTCTTACTTTTCCATAGTTAACTTGTAAGTACATAATATACAGTAATTGCAAAACAATTTCCAATGGACGTCATCAACTTTTAGATTTATCTTAATTTAAAATTGACAAACAATATATTTATTATATCATTATGTTTTAAAGATTTTTACGTTTTATTTTTAATTTAATAAACTAGTCCATTATGAAGAATATTCTAAGCGTTATTACGAGTATTTGTTTGATGTACATCTTATAACGCCATAAGTGGTAATAACAAGTAAGAAGGTGTAATTAATGCACAAACTAATCATCACAGAATTTAATAAAAACTAACGTAGAAATAACTTTGAAAATGGTATAATGTGCTTATCAATCAAACTCACTTCTCTGACTGCAGTCAAGGGTAATAAAGGATCTTTATTGTCACGTTCTCGTTCAAAATAGTTTATCAGAGAAGCTACAAGCTCTTTGCCTAGACTAAATTCTTCGGTATATTTTCAATACACTATTTCGAGAAATGCGATACAAAACCTCGAAAATTTAGTTCTTAAAAGAACTGTTTGTGCATAAAAGTAAATTTTCAATTAGTCAGGTTTATAGACTTTAGTGTCAATGTCAAAGTCTTTATTAATTCAAAGAAACACAATTTTGCTGTACTTTTGCATTGTAATTAATAAGTTTTAATTTTGATTACAGATCAAAGAAATCTTGGAATCGATAGGTTTGGATCAATCCCACAACACACTGACGTCACGTTTGTCTGGAGGCCAGAGAAAACGTCTAGCGGTAGCTTTAGAATTAATTAGCAACCCACCAATTCTGTTTTTGGATGAACCAACTACGTAAGAGCCTTGTTTATTACTATTTATACGTCATAGTTATTACATTGAAAACAATGTTTTTTATATAGTATAAAGATATTCAGTTTGTGAATTTAGAAACAAAGTCCATTGGTGTATGACAAAGATTATTTGGTAATTATTGGGAAAACTGGAAATCGTCCGATTTTCACCAAAATTGGTATATACCCTATGTTGAGGTCGTAGACTACGAATCTGAACTTTTTTTTTGGCGGCCTCTTACCGTTTTTCAGAAAAAAGGAAAATAATTTCATCATTGAATTTTTCTTTATTTCGGTCCTATAAAGTAATAATTTCACTATATTTTCATTATATTATAGTTTATCTCAAAGCCACACTTGATTGAGGATAGAGAAATGTCCAAAATTTTACTGAAAAACACTTTTCTTAACAAAATAAAGAAAATTGAGACCAGATGGAAGTTTGACATTTCATATATCCTTCTTTCTCTCTCCTATGTAATGACAAAGACTAATATATTGTAGACCCATGGTACAAAGAATACAAGGTATGATATTGCGCAGGTTGGTCGCTACGTACAGGTGATAACAGGCGCTATTGGTCAGCACGCACCGCGCGCCAGTTCAAATCGTCAAGATATTGTTATAAACCTGTTTTTTTGTTTATATACCGTCACTGAATTATCGCTAAGCAAATTACTGTGGAGCAGTGCGTAAGGAGTCGGGCTAGGAAGCGAGAGACCGGAGTTCGAATCTCGGCCTGGACATAACTTTTTATTTATTTTTTTAAATACTGTTGTAGGTATTCTATAGTTTATTTTTGTAGTATAAAAAAAAGAACTATTTATTCTGTTATTTTTTAATCTCCGTTATTAATATAAATTGATTGTTAGTACAATACCTCATTTAATATAAAATAATATTCTACTTTTTGAAATGTATCGGGCCCTAATTGTACCTAAAAGTAATATAATTTTAGTGATATACCATATTGTAAACTATTTAATATTTCAGTCACTTAAAAAGTTAATTTGCATTGAATAATTGCCTACCATTAAAGGAAATTTGAGCTATATAATCCTTGATGGGCATATTCTGGGTATGCAAATACTTTCTTTAAATTTTGGGTGTCGTTCAACCGATTTATTCTCAAAACCAGAAACATCTACATATAAAAAGAAGCACAGGTCACTAATTATAATAAACTTCACCCTTGGTATTACTTCCACTAATTATAATAAACTTCACCCTTAGAATTACTTCTATCACAATTACAATACGTTCATCTGCATTGGCATTTTCTACTTTTCGATGGGAAACAATAAACTTCCCAACATTTTTTAAATGATGTAACAATTCCTCTTGTGGTTACTTTTCCATAGATATCCTCAACTCTGTCCTCATGTGAATTCAGAGGCAATGAAAATGAAAATTATTTACCATAAACATCGCAAACTAAAAACCTAATAAACAATTTTATACCGAATATAGAAATAAATTTAGTATTCTTACCTATCGTCCAAATCCATGTTAATAGATAATTATTATTTTTAAATATATTTTTGGAACTGCTGGTTTTAGTAATTATTAAATTAAACGAACTAAAAAGTCTTAAAAATAAACAATTCTTAACCATAACCCCAAAAAATGCAGATCAAAGATGCAGATCTCCTGTCAACTTTCTTTATTTTTTATTTATTCATTATTTTCCTAGTGACGTCACAGGTGGTATGCGCGAACTGAACGAAATTGGAGCCGCTATCGATCATACCTTGTTTGCTTTGTACCATGTTGTAGACCTAACCTATAGAAATTTGAAAATTTACAACGTTGCCATATCTTCTATTTTTTCGGGTGATTAGGCGTTTTAAATAAATTACCTATTATGAGATCTCACAATAGTTAAATATACTTAACTATATCCACAAAGTTACGCGGAAGAGTTTTGATTGCATTTGTTTCAACTTTTATGCGGAGGGTGTTATTCTTTTGTTGTTATATTATACCAGAAAAAAAATTAACCCCCTCCGCAAAGAAGTTATATAAAGACTATTTATTATAACCACGAAGTTGCACGAAAGAGTTTTGATTGCATTGGTTTCAACTTCCTTGCAGAGGGAGTTAATCTTTTTTTGGTATAATACAACAACAAAAAATTAACACCCTCCGCATAGAAGTTGAAACCAATGCAATCAAAACTCTTCCGCGTAACTTCGTGGTTATAAATAGTCAGATCTCGTTGGTAAAATAGCAGTTATGGGAAGGAGCCGTTCTTCTGGCGACCGCCTTTCGTAATCTCAGAATGAGCGAAAAATTGGCAACGTTGCTTTAAATGCCAGAAACACATAACCATAACCCAACATTTTCAGATTGTTTACAAATTTATTTTCGCAAATTTTCCTCTATTATGCATAGATTTGCTTAAAAAAATAACAGAAAATCTGAAAAACCAAAACATCATTGTTTATTGAATACCTAACAAAATATTTGCATTATAGAAAACCTTAAAAATATGAGAAATTATGAAAAATTCGATTCTGAAATAATTTTTCGTTTTTCTGAAAAACGGTAAGCGACCACCAGAAAAAAGTTCAGACTCGTAATCTACGACCTCACAATAGGGTGTATACCAATTTTGGTCAAAATCGGACGATTTCCAGTTTTCCTAATAATTAGCGATTATTTATATGATTTGCAAGTAATAAGTAATACATTATTGTTAAAAAAAATGAAATGACACACATTAAGTCATATCAATACTGGTCAGTGGGATGTATTGTGACTAAGCAATCATAGTAGTACGCTTTATTAGGTCACGATCTTTGTCTAGAATTATGTAAACTTTGAACACGAGGACAGAATCCATGAACTTGCTCTAAACAATGACTATCTATTTATTAATCATCAATTTTTTACGATTGTGATAAAATCTACTATTTCTATGATTATTTTAAATATGTTATTTCATATTAAATATTAATAAAATTAATAGATATACAGGGTGGTCCAAACTGTATTCCGAAAACTTCGGCAGCATATTCTGCAGATAAAAATAACTAAAAAAGTTCGTATAAATGTATGTCCTAAAATGCTTAATTTCGGAGATATGGGGTAGTTCGCTATTTTTTAAATAATTTCTGAAGTAACGTCAATATTTAGATCAAAACTGGTGTGTGGGACTTTTTTGACATGAGAAATTTGATTTTGAAGTCAATATGACTCCTATTTGTAAGGGGCGCCACCTACATGTGTTTTAACTGTTTTGAAAACTAATAAATTTTCGGCCGTACCTGTATAAAACTACTGAGTCAAAAAATATACATTTTCATGATTTTTTACGTAAAAAATGACTCTTGCTAAAAATCGCTACAAGCAACCGTTCTCGAGAAATTTAGAATAAAATTAGTCAATACATGTAATTATTGACAAAAAAATAGACATGTCGAGTAGATAGTTATTTCATTGAAATAACTATCTAAATAAATATATATATACTATATATATAAACTTTTTATTTTTTTATATTATATATTATATACTATATATATAAACTTTTTATTTTTTTAAATTAATCATAAATTTTTCTTTTAAAAAATGACGATAAAACAGTTTCTGTTGAACTTTTGGCACAAAATCATTTCAAATTTATGATTTGAATCTACTAACTATTTACAGGCATTACTTAGGCATTGATAATTTCGATTCCAAATATCTCGGGAACCATTACTAGTAGTTCTACGTAAAAAAACGTCATTATTTTACTTTTAGTTTTACACAGATACGCATAAATCTTTGAATAAGAAGACTAAGGAAGGAGCATAATGCTATCCATGTATTCATGCATGGTGGGCGGAAAAGCCACCATAAAAGCTCTCTAGGGTGGGGATCCTTGACAGTTCTGTTTGACGATTCATTTGACACATTTGAATTTGATTTGAAATTTTGTGGATTTGTCAGTCTTTACGGAGCTTATTTTATGTTATTTATTATTTATTCTACTACTGATAGTTGTATAAAGGTAGTAAATCTAGATGGAAATTGTGGCAGAACTTAAATTAACAGTGACACTATCGCGATTTATGGAAAAATGTAATTTAATAAAAATTTATATAAAATGGATCGAGGAATGTGGACAGATATAACATTCCTTCAGGATGGACTAACCTGGTATACAGACGGGTCAAAGACCGCTGAAGGAACAGGAGCTGGAGTATTTGGGGAAAGACCAAGGGTAAGTCTATCCTTTTCCTTGAGTAAACACTCAACCGTATTCCAGGCAGAAATCTTCGTCATTCTACAATGTGCGAGAGAAAACAATAGAAGAGCTTATTCAGATAAGCTCATCAATATATGCTCAGACAGTCAGGCGGCACTTGGGGCGCTTATGAGCCCAAAGGTATCGTCGAGGCTCGTCTGGGAATGCCTAGGTGAACTGGAAACTCTGGCTCGACGGAACAGAATTAAATTATTCTGGGTGCCGGGCCACAGCGGCATCCAAGGCAACGAAAAAGCCGAAGAGCTAGCTAGGCAAGGATCATCGGCATCTTATCTTGGTCCAGAGCCAGTACTGGGAATACCCAAATGTATAGCCCGTAGTGCATTAAAATTCTGGATCAGGGAAAAGCAGAATGTCCACTGGAGGAACAGATAGGGGCACAGGCACAGCAAGGCTTTTATCCAAGGACCTAGCTCCAAAACCGCAAAAGAACTACTAATGTTTAGCAGGAATAAATGGCAGATTACAACAGGCCTCTTGACAGGACATATGGCTGTCAAGTGTTACCTGAACAAGCTCAATCTGTATCAAGGAAGTCTTTGCTGCAGACTCTGCGATAAAGATCCTGAAACAGCGGAGCACATAATATGTCACAGCGAGGCTCTGGATCGCAAGCGACACTTTTTATTTGGGAAAGCTAGGCTAGAACCGGAGGAATTATGCTCCCATCCTATCAAGGACCTGCATAAGTTAGTGCAGGGCACAGGGATAGGAGAATGGGTGCAGATATAGAAAGGGGACAAACACAATAGGCCTCACAGGTCGCAGTGTTTCCGGCAGAGGACGGCCCCTTATTGTGGAAAAAAAAAATCGCGATTTATCGAAAAAGACTCTAAAATAGTTGGTTGTGTAGCGTGCGGTAGATCTCGGCAAAAATTGAGTGAAATAATGGAACAACTTTTCGCTAGTAAGTGACTATATAATATACATACGTGTAGTAAACCGATCATTTATGAAATTCACTTAAATTAACTAAATTATATATTTTTCTTGCATTTTAGCTTTTATTTATTACTTGTCAAAGATTAGATGTCAAAGAATTTAGATACGTTAATTTGACTTACCTGCTTCAGTAGCGTATCGGATGTTTGTGTTAATAAATACTTATTATAACTTATCTATTTTTATTAGAATTCTATATTTTTATAACAATTTTAATAACTACCAACATTTATTCACAACGTAAAATAAAACAACAAATTATTGAGTCCACCCCACGTCTACCCTACATCATAGTTTTACATTTTTTAAATAAAATTAGAACGACACTGATAAACCGGAATTTAAGTCGGCCATATTTGAGGCCCATCGCGGTGTACCTAAGATTTTTGATATGCTCCTTCCTTAGTCTTCTTATTCAAAGGCATAAATAATAAGTAGGTGGCGCCCTTTACAAGTAGGAGTCATATTGACATCAAAATCAAACTACTCCTGTCAAAAAACACCCAGACACTAATTTTGATCCAAATATTGACGTAACTTTAGGAATTATTTGGAAAAAAAAATCGAAATAAAAATGAAACTTCTACACCCTGTATCTCCGAAACAAAGAATTTGAGGGCATACATTTATACGAACTTTTTTACTTATTATTATCTGCAGAATATGTTTCCGGAATACATTTCAGACCACCCTGTATACTATGAACCTTATAGACTTACGATTATGATATAGAACTTACATTTGTAAAAAGTATGATTATTTTGTAAAAAGCGCACAAGAATGATAAAATATTAATTTTTAGGTTATTTAAAACAATCTACTCTCTGTTGATGCTTAATATAAATAAAAATAGCAATCAGGTTATTTTGACTTTGGAATTTTAATAGAACCAAAATTATTTCTAGGGGCTTGGACAGCGCCTCTTGTAGCCAGTGCATGTACCTCTTTAAAAAACTGGCACAAGAAGGAAGAACGATCATCTGTACCATTCATCAACCTTCAGGTAAGAAGATCATATTAATACTTCTTTAGAAAATTTAGAAATCATCCTATAAAGAAGTGTCTAGTCCTAGCAGTCAACTATTAAGCTTGACCAATCAGGTTGGTTAGCGTGGTTATTTGGAGTGCGTTAATTCATTTACGTTTGTCAAAAACTCTAACGTGATTGGTCGGGCTTAACAGTTGCCTGCTAGGGCTAGACACTTCTTTATAGTCTTATTACGTGTTAAAAGGAATTCTATTCTTCTTGTTCGAGTGCTTTTTACTATTTGGATTATGTGTTATCTATGCATTATTATGTGTTCTGTGCTAACAGTTTCTATGAAAAAAAAAAAACAAAATATATTATTTTTATTTAACCTTTTGAGGGCTTTTGCCCCACAAAGACATCTGTATTGACTTTTTCTAGATACATTTATTTTTCTAATAAATGTTTATTATGTATTTTCAGCTTTATTATTTGAAATGTTTGACAGCCTGTACGTTGTGGCCACCGGAAAATGCATATACGAGGGACCCTCCAATAGTTTGGTCACTTACTTGAGTAAATTTAACCTGAATTGTCCGTCTTATCACAATCCAGCAGATTTTTGTAAGTACCTACTTTATATTTTACTTTATCCACAAAACTAAGTAATTTTTTTCTTCAATTTCAGTGATGGAAGTTGCTATAGGTGAATATGGTACTGATCTAGACCTTTTAGCAAAAGCTATTGAAGATAAGCAGGCAGAGCATGAATTTATTAGTAACAAAGGTATCTATAATTAATTTTAATTACTTTATAGTTATCTAGATGGTTTCTTGGACGTTACTGACTTGTGTAATTATCCCTTAAATTATTTTAGAAATATATTTCATGAATCTTTTTTTTACTGTTATTAATGAATTATTTTTTATATACCGGGTGTTTTGGATAGTCGAGCGGGACATAGGAAATCCTATGTAAATTTTAATGGGGTCAGTTATTGGCTTCCTTAATTATTTTAGAGAATAATTCTATTTAGGTTTATTGAAGAGCACTAAAACCCACATTCAAAAGAATAACTTGAAAATGGAAAGATAAGCACAAGGAAACTTGAGGATGAAATAGGAATAGATCACACTACAGCGTTTCGAATTTTGAAACGACATAAATACTATTCCTTCAAATATGAAAAGCACCAAGAGCTACGAGATGGGGACGAAATACGGCGGCAGGCGTTTGGTTTTGATATGATGGAAAGAGCAAACACGGATAGGGAAATTTTAAAAAACATAAATTTCACTGACGAATGCACGTTTACCTTAAATAATGAACCCAATGTTCAAAATTATCGATATTGGAACAAAGAAAACCAACACAGGTTTGTCGAAACAAGGACGCAATATCCACAGAAAGTAAATGTTTGGGCAGGGATATTCGGACACAATATTATCGGGCCATTATTTCTTACGCGAAATTTAAATGCAGAATATTATTTGGAACTACTCGAAAATCACATTTTACCTGCTTTACATGATGCCGCTAGGGAAAATCAGGAAGTTTAGTACCAAATGGATGGCTGCCCGGCACATAGTACCCTGGCTGCTCGGGAATATTTAGACAATAGGGAGTTTTCGTTGCTTACAAATTGCAATTCCGGTTAACGCTAATTGACAACTTTGACATTTCAATTTCGATTATCGCATATCGTAACCGCTAGCTGCCGATATTTTACGGACGTTAGCCAAAGCCGTTAACATAGCGGTACGCATGCGCACTAGCGCAGTAGAAACACAACATTGAAAAATACAGATCTAACCTAACCTCATTCTATTTTGTTTATGTTTTGATTATTTATTTTATCTGTGTTAAACTCGTTGGGAATTCTTAGTGCTTCAACTAATCGAGGAATGTCTTTTTTTTCAAAGCGGAAGTTAGCTTTGCACTCTTGGTCAGATAATATTTCTAGGTTGAACTCCCCATAAAGTTCTGCTCGATATTCGATGTTGTTTTCAAACCCTTCCAACAGCATAGCATCCTCCAAATCCGATTCATCACTAGAGTCCAATAAAATTAAATTGTCCATTCTATATAGCGATACCCAATAAAAGCATATAAAGCACTTTCAAATCAAACAACAATACAAAAACCAAAAATCAAAACGCTACGCTACGGGCTGTGCTCAGCTGTCAGTTTTCGGTTATCGTATCGTATGTCAGCTCCGAACCGATGAACCGAAAGTCCGAAAACTGTTTTTTTATCTGCCAAAATAGCGGTTATGGTTACGTATCCGTTAACCGTACCGTTGAATTTTTTTAAAGCAACGAAAACTCCCTAATAGTTTTAAAGGAAACGTTATTGGCCTAAATCATGCAGTAAATTGGCCAGCAAGGTCTCCTGATATTTCGCTAAATGATTTCTTTCTCTGGGGCCATTTAAAAAACAGGATATACAAGGATAAAAAATACCCAAATCTAGACGAGTTAAAATATGCTATTTCTGCCGAATGCAATAGAATTTCAGTTTAATACCAACTAGCGAATGTAAGAAGAGAATTTTATGATCGCCTGGGTTATTGTCTAGCAGTCGATGGAGGAATGTTTGAACATCTTCTTAAATCCTAAAGTTCTAACAATTTAATAGTACCTAAATTAATAAGTTATTGAATATTGTAATAATACTATAATTAACCATGTAATTGATTACTTTATTTTACTTTAATTCATATTAATTTGAATTTATAAATACATCTTTAACATTTCCGATGTAGGAATGAGTTTTCACTAATAATAAAGCACTAAATAGGTAAATTTCTGAAATGACAACTTCATTTGACAGTTATCTTTTACCTTGACTGGTGCTCATAAGTAAATACAGGAAGATAAGAAAGAAAGAGTAAACATAAGAAAGAAAAAGAAATACATAAGAAAGAAGAAATATTTAAAAAGAAATCGGCGATAACTCGTAAACGAGCTAATCAAAAATATCTAAAGTTATTCTTTTGAATGTGGGCTTTAGTGCTCTTCAATAAACAGAATTATTCTCTAAAATAATTAGGGAAGTCAATAATTGACCCCATTAAAATTTACATGGGATTTCCTATGTCCCCACCGACGATGCAACACCCGGTATATTTAAAACATACTGTTATGTATTATTTACCTATAAAAATAGTGAATGTACAGCTGGTTCCAAAAAAAATGAATACTACTCTTTACATATTTTTTTGGAATATTTAGGCAGTGTATATTTATGTGTCAAGTATTTTGACATGTTAAGGTAATTGTGACATCACAAAACACATACACAAGGAGAAGTGCGAGCGCCTTGCTAAATATCGGAAAGTAAAATTGACGTTTAAATTTGACACTGTTGACAAGTCTACTGCTACTAGCGCCCCCAAAATCGCTTGTAGGAACTACGGACTAAATTGTCACGCATGGCGGGAAGTTTAAAAAAATAAATTTTTTAATTCTTCATTTATTTTTAATTGAGATAATTTAATTGATTTAAAGCTGAGAAATCTAGATAAACAAAGAATAATAAATTAAAAGTATACCAGGGGAAAAGAGAGGAAAAACCTGTATCGTCTCTGATATCTGTCAGGGTATTGTTGAAAGTGTCATCTTTTTGCTCGAAGTTTTCAGGTTGATTAAAAAGATGAAATTTACAACAATACTTTGCCGTAACTTTCACAAATATCAAAGAGAGAGTACAGGTATTGCCTCTCTTTTCCTCTGGGATGCTTTATATCTGTTGTTCTTTGTTTATCTATATTTCTCAGAGCATAATGTCGAACACGACTACAGTATATAATAATTTCAATATCCAAGTGGAAAGAAAAAAGATCACCTTTCTGTTTTGTACTATGGTCCCTTTCTTCCGATGGTTCATCTCGTTGATATTTAGGAAGGTATCCTTAAAATATATATTTTATTATCGCTCCCGGGATGACAAAATATAAAATTCAATTTGATTTGATGATCCTTTTTTGTCACCTAAATCAGGAGAATGACAATGAGCATGTTAAGATGAAAAAAAACTTATATATCAACACTTACCTACACGTTAGTCCAAGGAGTTTTATCAAAAACCTATATTTGCCTAAATAATTTATGTATTAAATTTACAAAGCAAACTGCAGCGTGTAAACAAAAGAAATAAAATGGCGACAAGTCAACGTCAACGACCCGACAAGGAGAAAAGTGGTGTTCGAATAACAAATTATGGGTCACCAAAAATTGTTTTTGTCTCCTTTCAACGCACACTTTAGAAAGAAAAGAGATGAACTGTTATACTGAAAGAATGTCAAGGTTTTATCTGTCACTCTTGTCAATAATTTATCGGTAAGGAAGATTCCTAGAAAATCGCTTGTAGTCAAGTTTTCAACCATTGCCAGTTCTCCCATAAGAAGTGTCATTCACCTGTGTGACATTGTGTAAAACAACTTTGCTTTTGACAAAGTGGCAAATAAATTTTTCAGAATGTCAGCGCGACATGAGTAGAGAAATGGGGGACTGGTATCGTAGAATATACTGCCCGAAATAATAAAAATATGTTTTAAATCGTATTCAATTTTATTGGAACCAGCTGTACATACTTATTGTTTAAACTGCGTATAATTTCTACAATATTCTATAAATAAAAACAAGTCTATTTAAATGTCAGTTACTGAACTATTTGTTTAGCAGGATGTTTTGTTATTTGAATACTTTACGCAAAAAGTTACAGATAATTTAACAAACCATTAGCGGATATTAGGAACAACTGTATATTTGCTGTCCGTTGCCCAATAGAGATAATAACTTGTAATAAACATTTTTCCTTGACATGAAAACTGTATTTAGCAAATTGTAGTTTTTCTAGGACTGTGGGGTATGTAAACTTAAATATTTCATACGCGTTGATCGCTGCTGTTAAAGTTTGTTTTTAAAAATAAATACATAAAATATAGAGATTATTTATCAAAAAAGCGCTGTAATTACATACCAAATATCTAAAAATTTACCAGATATGTTTTAAGTGAAGGTTGTAAGGGCCTGTATCTTCCTTAGGAAGCATCTTAGGCCATATGCTCATAAGAAAATTTTCTTTTGTTTGTATTTGTAGTGTTACTCAACTGAAGTTTGGTACACCATTTTTTTACATCCTGTATACCGGGTGCGTCTCAAAAATTGCTCACCCCTATAACTTTTTTACTTTTTCAAATAAAAAAACGAGATTACGTGTGTTAGTATATGACATAAATTAGGATCGCTAGACGTATTCAATTCTTTTCGGTCACTTCCTGTTTCACCGGAAATGAATCTTATTTTTAATCATATCTCATTTTTTTTAAATGGAGCAAGGGTGGCTGATTAGCATATTTGGGTTCTGTCATAATCAGCTTTGCTATTTCTTTATAACTCAATAAGTACAGGGTGTCCCACTAAGAATAGCTCTCGGCTGTATATCGGCAAGTATTAGCCGTAGGGGCTGCGGAAAAAATCACTTATCACTAAAAGGGTTATGAGGAATTGCTGGAAATTATTTTCAAGTTTGTAGAACGACCGCTAGGGGGCGCAACTAAAACAAAAAAATAAGAAAATGGAGTTTTTACACCATTTTGCCTAGATAAGGTGTACTATAAGTAATAGCTTCATAATCTTCAGGAAATTTTGAATACTTTTTGTTAGAGCCATTTTCCCCTATCTACCAAAATAAAGTGGTGGGGGAAGGTTAGATTTTTTTTTATTTAAATATTAATAACTCTGGACTGGATGATGGGAATCCAACCAGCGAGGGCTCGTTTAAAAGAGCGTTTCTTACTCTATATTGTACCATATAAACAATAATAATAAGCTTTTGAGCCTAGACGCTAGGGGGCGTTGTCTTACAATTTAACAAACATTGCACGTTTTTTCAAAAAAATTAAATGCAATAGTATATGTAATTTTAACTCATAGTAAAGAGTAGTGAAAGCTTAAAAAGTCAGCGAAAACCGCATCTTGATATCTTCTTTCAAACCGAATGTATTAGCAAAATTATAATAAATTCCAAAAAATAAGCCCTTAATTACCTTATTTTTACAACACGGTATATCAGTAGCCCTCTTGATTATGCCCATTCCAACAAAAAAATAAGGTGTACTGAAGCTTTTACTACTCTTTATTATCAGCGAAAATTACATATATTCTCGTATTTAATTTTTTTGAAAAAACGCGCTATGTTTGTTAAATTGTAAGAAAGCGCCCTCTAGCGTCTACTTTCAAAACCTTATTATTACTATTTTTATGGTATAATATAGAGTAAGAAACGATCTTTTAAACGAGCCCTCGTTTGTTGGATTCTGATCATCCAGTCCGGAGTTATTAACATTTATATAAAGATAGATCTAACCTTCCCCCACCACTTTATTTTAGCAGATAGGAGAAAATGGTTCTAACAAAGAAAATCCAAAATTTACTGAAGATTATGAAGCTATTATTTATAGTACCCATTATCTAGGCAAAATTCTGTAAAATTCTATTTTCTTATTTTCCATAGCAGTTGCGCCCCCTAGCGGCCGTTTTACAAACTTGAAAATAATTTCCAGCAATTTCTCATAACGACTTTAGTTATAAATATTTTTTTCCGTAAGCCCTACGGTTAATACTTTCCGAGATACAGCCGAGAGCTATTGTTAGTGGGACACCCGGTATAGTTTAACTAGGTACTAGATATCATATAAAAAAATTACCAAATATGTTTCAAGTAAAGGCTATAAAGGCTGAAATGACCTTTAAAGGCTCTAATTTTCTCAAGAAACGAAAAGAAGTTGGTACACCATTTTTTTACACTCAGTATACAGGGTGTTTCAAAACAAATGCGAAAAACTTTAGGGGGTGATTCCTTGTTCATAATAAAGGGTAGTTTGCTTTATAAACGTTGGGTCAAAAGTCAACCATTAGGGAGATATCGCGGTTCAAAGATGGCGGAAAAATAATGTTTTTATTTTTTATCTTGAAAACGAAAAACGATAGACTAATGAAATTTTATGGAAGCATTTGGATAGTTTAGTTTGTTTAGAAACTTTTTTATCTCTTCTGTTTTTTTGATAAAACTCATCGATTCGAAATTAAAAAATAAAATGTAAAGCATTACATGTCAGGACAAAAAACATTTTTAGATAAAGAATCTAGTGGGCTGCTCTAATTTTTTTAAGAAAAAAATCTAGTCGGCCGCTGTCGCTTTTTAGGATGTTTCTAATATTATTTTATTTATCACTTGATTCTTCATCTAAAAATGTTTTTTATCCTGACATGTAATGCTTTACATTTTATTTTTTAATTTCAAATCGGCGAGTTTTATCAAAGAAACACAAGAGATAAAAAAGTTTCTAAATAAGCCAAGCTATCCAAAGTAATTTTTTTGCATGTGTTTGATAAGATTTTTCTTTAAATTTCGTTAACAAGAATGATAGGGGTAGTTTATTTCAACCCCTTCCACTCATTTTACAAAGTAAAAAAAATACCAGAAAGTGTATTTTCATAACAGTAATGCTCCCATAAAATTTCATTAGTCTATCTCATTTCGTTTTCAAGATAAAAAATAAAAACATTATTTTTCCGCCATCTTTGTACCGCGATTTCTCCCTAATGGTTGACTTTTGACCCAACGTTTATGAAGCAAACTACCCTTTATTTTGAACAAGGAATCGCCCCCTGAAGTTTTTCGCATTTGTTTTGAAACACCCTGTATATAATTGCATACTCGCAAAAAGTTGTTTGGTTGTATTTTTTCTTTTTAGGGTTCCGTACCCAAAGGGTAAAAACGGGAACCCTATTACTAAGACTTCGCTGTCCGTCTGTCCGTCTATCTGTCACAAAGGTCTATCTTATGAACCGTTATAGCTAGACAGTTGAAATTTTTACAGATAATGTATCTATGTTGCCGCTATAAGAGCAAATACTAAAAACAGAATTAAATAAATGTTTATAAATAAAAAAGTACTTTCACTAAACATTATCTTTTAAGCAAGAATTTTACATAGAATCTTTCAAGTCCTCTGTGGCCGCGTGGTTAAAGCGTTAGGACTTTACGCTGCTATGACGTTGGAGCCGTAGTATGGCAGGTTCGAATCCTAGTCAAGACGACTTTTTATTTAAGCGTTTTTTTTTAATTTTTACATATTTTTACATATTTATTTTTACTTTTTACATATTTATTATTGATTAATACAATTTTTAGTAATGTGTTTCTTTATTTTTTTTAAATTACTTATACGCGCATTCAAAATTTTAGCTAAATAAAAAAAAAAGTTTATAATAATATAGTATCTAATGTTGTATAGATAATGAATGGTACGGAACCCTTCGTGTGCGAGTCCGACTCACACTTTTTTTTATGTTTTCCATTATTTTTCATGTTTTCTTGTCGGAAAACAGTCATACGCTGCATAAGTAACGATTTTCAAGCCTTTTTGTAAGCATCACAATAAAAATAACGTAAATTAAGTTCAGTATTGCCTAAAAAACCAGCAAAAATCCAGCTTTTAAATGAAGCATCATACAGAATGAGTTATCTTTTAGAGAAAAAATAATATAGGGATTATTATTATACCTAATAATAATTAATAGTTATTTTTGAATGTTTTTTTTTGCAGAAAAGGAAAGTTTGTTTTCCAAAGAAAAATCATGGGGTTTGGACGATGATATGCCTAGTCCATCGCCAGCACCTGTGCTGATGCAGTTCCTGTTGTTGTACAAAAGAAATTTGTTGATAAACAGACGATGCTGGGTAAGTCTAGTTGAAATGTTATAATAATAACACAAAAATTTGCTTGATACTTATTGACCGAACCGATAAAGAGTTTTTTTGGTGGAGGAGGCTCAATATACATATTAAGTTATGTTCAATTTAACACATTAAATATTAAAAAAATACACAATTAATTATTATTATTTACTTATGTTTATTTATATGTTATCGGTGCATAGGATTTTTTATTTTTATTCGGACGACCTTAGTGGATATAATTTAATTAGAAAAAACTGTTTTAATTAAAAATATTTCCTTTCTTCGGTTGATTGAACTGATTTTGATAAAATGTCATTCATCTTTTTGAACAAAACAAAAGAGTTCTTTTTTTAATGCCTATCCATAATCTGTTTTTCTTTAAACGCGTCCTTCTATCTGTGTGATGTAGGAAATTAACTCACAGTATTCTGGCTATCAGTGTGACCATGACAGTATAGCTAGTCAAGTTTGCAATTCTCGTTATCTTGAATATTTTTTTTATTGATGAGAAAAAATAAATATAAAAATGTTTTAATTATTTTAAATATGGATATGGTTTTTTATTTCATTTTTTAAAAGGTTTTATGATGCCTAAGCAGTCCCAAGTAGCATTTTCACGACTTGCGACCACATGTTTACTAAACACAACGTTGGATTAGTTACAAAAAATAGTTAGCTCCCTACCTTGGGTATTAAAATAAATTTAAACGTTTTTATAAAGTTGTACCGACGTTGGACTAGTACTACAGCAAAGTAGAAGCTTCTGCGACGTCGAATAAACGTTGTCTTGTAACCTTTTTTGCTTAAGTGATCTTTAGGTGATTCGGACAACGTAGTTACAACGTTGGACAATATAGAGTTTTCCGACGTCAGTTTCAGGACCTATTCCAACGTTATGCAAACGTCGTCTATTTTACTAATTCCAACGTTGTTTAGATTTCCTTATTCTTACGTTGGTAGGACGTCGAGTCACTACCTTTTGCAACTGTATTGAACCATAACCCTTAAATCTTAAATTTTCACTTCATTGTTCTGTTCAGTCAGACAGTTCAGTGCTGCTTTTATTTTTATAAAAAAACTTAATTAAAACGGGACATAATAAAGGTACATATAAAACTAAATTTAAATATACATCGACATATATTACCGATCCACTCCCTCGTTTATTTAGATTATAGAGGGCGGCACAAGCACAAGCTCTAGGATGACTAAATTAGGCAATCTTGCGACTAGTATACTACCTGTTAAGGCCGAACTGCGACTTTATTAGTCCAGTATGCGACTACTCGAACTACTCCATCTTAATCTCCAAAACAACAAAGTGAAAGCCGCCATGTTGTTAAATAAGTAAATGTTTCGTTCCTAAAATAGCAATTCCTACTTTTTGAATACATTAACTTGAAATATTTGACTCTAAAAAACACGCGGAAACAATTTTTTCGACTGCGAATGAATTATTCGCATTTTACTAAAAAAAAATTCAAGAAAATTATTAGAACTTCTTTAATTTTAAGGCCCATTAGTATTTTTCAAAGTAGAAACAATACAATTATCAATAAAGTTGTTTGCGTTTAACTTTTTTGCCTTGGGTAACGAGTTACAGAGTCGGTTAAAGTGTTTCAATAATTATGATCTTCAAACATCCTCCACACTTAAATACTTTTGTTTTGTTTTCCTTCACTGCCATCTGACATATGTCTCTAACTAAATCATAAAAATAATATTTTTACTATAATTATCCCAATTTAAGATAAAACGCGACTTAGACGCCATATTAGTTTTGTATTTCTGTGAATTAGGATTTTAAACAACGTTGCAGTTTGTACTAAATTAGGCTTCTAGCCAACGTCGGTATCCAACGTCGATTCTACCCAAAAATTATTCTCCAAACTAGTGCAGACTAGGGTTGGCACGAGGTTGTGCCGACGTTGCGCCCCGACGTTTGGTCGCGTGACACAACGTTGTCCCGACGTCCAAATGCTGCTTGGGGTACTAATAATTTTTTTCTACCTACTAATAATCTTTATTCGAAAATTTAGAATTTATGTTATTAAAAATAAGTTTATTTTTATTGTAGTTGTATCCAGTGAACAGACTGTTAGCCCATATCATTATTGGACTACTTTTTGGCTACCTATACCAAGGAGTTGGAGCCAATGCGAATCAGATCCTAGCAAATTATGTTTATCTATATGGAACGATGTTACTTAATGTTTATACAGGGAAAATGTCAGTTACTTTATCATGTAAGTACTAACTTTTCTATTTTTCAAAACACAAATTTATAAATACAAAATTATTTAACCAGAGCACAATAGCGGTACTGGATGTCCCATTATCCTGTGTTTCTTTGGGCTTTCTCATTTATGAGCAAAGTTACAAAGATGCCGTTTTCTACGTCCTTTTGTTATTTTTTCAAAATAATGATGCTGCACACAAATTTATCCGAGCCTTGTTAGTTTCTGAAATACAAGGCGATTTTTAAGATCTTGAAATTTTCGACCCCCTTCTTATCTTGGTTATCTTACAATTTTTTACAGTTTTTCACGTAGAATTCATTGTTGTAATTAGTTTGTCACTTTCATTTCTTTATGTTGTTTATGAAAATAACTGGATAACTAGATAGCTCATAACAAAGCAAATAAATTAAAAAAATATATATGCAAGGCAACCCATTAAAAATATAGTATTCATCTCTTCCATAAGTTATAACATAACTGAGATACAATTTTAGTTTTACAGAAAATTATAGGAAACATGAAAATATGGTTGGTATATCTTTTCTAAGTCCTTATACTCAAAACGCGTATCTATGTTAATATTATTACGTTTTATTTTGATAGGTTATTATTGATAAAATTTCAATTTAACGTCATATTTTTTGCTGTTTTAAAATCTTAAAGAAGCCCAAACTTTATTTAATTCAATGCTATGGAAATGGTGATAATACTCAAGGACTGTATATATTCTAAAGGAATGTTCGATCGCGTCAAATCGCCGCTGTCGCAGTCGCCGTGGAATGCTACGTCACGCGCTGACCAGCGCTCCACAGTGCGGCGGATGGTTATTCTAGCGGGACAAAATCTCAAGAGCAATGTTTGGAAAATCTAAGAACGTAGCAAATGGTCTAATATATAGCAACTATATTAAATTTATTTATTTATTAACAACTTAATTTATTAATAAATAAATACAAGATAATAAAACTATGATATTATTCGTACATGACACACAAAAACCGTATTGTAAACTATTGCCAAATACATAAAATTATGATATCAAAAAACACTTTAGCAGTTTTTTTTTAAATTAATTTGTAATCTTGTGACACCCTCTATAATTTATTTTAAAAAAATATATTTTATTTTGAAAATAATACGTAAGATAGATATTGTAATTTAAATTTTAACACTCGGTAATTGTAAATTCATATATAGTAAGTATCTGAGACAATTTTTTTAAACTCAGTGTCTTTTGATGGAGTTGTTTTGTTTTTATACTATCCGATTGAAATGAATCTTTTTGGGCATTCACCTGTTGAACTTGAACTCCCTGTGACTGTGACTACCTGTGTTGGTAACTATTGGTAACTCAAAAGATCTACATCATTCAATATATCGATATTTGAAAAAAAAGTGAAAGTTTGATATCTGCAGAACAAAGGCTGGAAGGATTTTAACAAATAATATACGTACAGTAGAAAAGTACATACCTTTGGCAATCTTCAACATAATTTGGCTTTCTAATAAAATGTATAAGCACTTGTAAATATTTTGTTTTCGTATGATCTCTGCCTTGCTGAGCAGAAAACGACCAAATTTGGTGGATAAAAATGTATCGAATTACAAAGAATATTCATGCATTTTTGTATCAATTATAGTAATATATTCTTATCAGTACACATTTTTTGACTTATTCCTAACCAAACGCTTTTGTCCCGCTAAATTTATCTTCCAACGCACTGTGCGCTTGTCCGTCAAATGCAAAAATAACTGTCACTGTCTAAAATCTTTAGCGCCAACTTCAACTCGGTCAGTAGATGACGTAAAAAAACTGACAGCGCAGGAAGATAGGAATCGAACTATCCTTATCTCTATAGTATCCTTGGATAATACCTTTGAATAAGAAGACTAAGGAAGGAGCATAATGCTATCCATGTATTCATGCATGTTGGGCGGAAAAGCCACCATAAAAGCTCTCTAGGGTGGGGATCCTTGACAGTTCTGTTTGACGATTCATTTGACACATTTGAATTTGATTTGAAATTTTGTGGATTTGTCAGTCTTTACGGAGCTTATTTTATGTTATTTATTATTTATTCTACTACTGATAGTTGTATAAAGGTAGTAAATCTAGATGGAAATTGTGGCAGACCTTAAATTAACAGTGACACTATCGCGATTTATCGAAAAATACTCTAAAATAGTTGGTTGTGTAGCGTGCGGTAGATCTCGGCAAAAATTGAGTGAAATAATGGAACAACTTTTCGCTAGTAAGTGGCTATATAATATACATACGTGTAGTAAACCGATCATTTATGAAATTCACTTAAATTAACTAAATTATATATTTTCTTGCATTTTAGCTTTTATTTATTACTTGTCAAAGATTAGATGTCAAAGAATTTAGATACGTTAATTTGACTTACCTGCTTCAGTAGCGTATCGGATGTTTGTGTTAATAAATACTTATTATAACTTATCTATTTTTATTAGAATTATATATTTTTATAACAATTTTAATAACTACCAACATTTATTCACAACGTAAAATAAAACAACAAATTATTGAGTCTACCACACGTCTACCCTACATCATAGTTTTACATTTTTTAAATAAAATTAGAACGGCACTGATAAACCGGAATTTAAGTTGGCCATATTTGAGGCCCATCTCGGTGTACCTAAGATTTTTGATATGCTCCTTCCTTAGTCTTCTTATTCAAAGGATAATACTTATAGGAAAATGTTATACCTTAACGACAGCAAAATATATGACTTGAATGAAAATTAATAATAAGCATCTATCAAAAAATCAAATAGAAATTATATTACCATAGAAACGTTTTCGTGAGTTTTGGGACTTTTGGAAAATCCAACCATATTTTCATGTTTTCTTTAATTTTCTCTAAAGCGGTATTGAGACATTTGGAAGAGTATAAAGGGATTAACCCTTTTAGAACAAGTAATTTTTTATGGAGAATGTATTTTTCTCAAAAAGTTAACAATAAGAAAGTTTTTCCTCTTGTAAAGACAATCCGTGGATATACTGTATAGTTATAAAAAGAAAAAAAAGAAATTAATCTTGAATTGTATAATGATTTTCTATGTATAATTTTTTTATTTAGAACTCTTTTTGTTACAGTTCCGTTAGAAATGAAGATCCTGGTACGAGAGCACTTCAATAGGTGGTACAAGCTTTCACCATATCTTATGTCTGTGATACTTATAGAGATACCTTTTCAAGTAAGTAACTCAAACATTTTATTCATAATCATATAAGAGTTTTCATCCTTTCATTTTTATCCCCTAGTGTTATCTCCTAGTAACAAGAAGCGCTATATTTAATTCGATTTTTAAAAATGATGCTTGCTGTTAATGTTTTCTATCCAATTTTAATATTTTTTCCATAGCAACTGTTAAACTTGCCTTATATCTATCAAAAATAGTAGATAAAACAGTACTTTAACCGCAAGGGTAGATTAAATGATACTTTAACAGCGAGGATAGGTTAAAAACTTTATTTCTTCTCGCACGTTTTTTAATTGCTTCCATTTTTGATAATTTTTGTATTCCTTTTCATAAGTTATTCGGGATTTAAATGGAAGTAGTTTGGATATGGCGTTTGTCGCCTCAGCCTGAATATCTGTTGGTAACTTACTTATTTAGTTTTGAGCCATTTCTGGCTCTAATTCAATCAGCAATCGACACGAAAGAGAATTAAAAAACATTTACTCAAAACCACAAAACATCCCCCTTTAGAACTTCGTCTATCATGTTAAGAAATGAATGTAAATAATAAGCGCCTCTCGTGTTTGTTCGCACTCAAACAATTTCAATTAATGCCCTGTATATATTTTTAATATATTTTTTAAATTTACATTTTTTTAATTGTAAAGTAATATATTACATTTAAATGGAATATATTACATAACAATTATGTCAATTACAGGATTACAAGCTTGTTTTCTAACATTTTTTAAATAAAACGAATTATAAAATTTCAATATTATGTATATTTGTTGTAGGTATGAAAAAAGTAAAATATAAAATTGACAAACGCTTACTTACATTGCAATAAAACTTCCACTTTTAAAATTATCCTACAACACTAAAATCACTGAAACTCCGCGGCTGACAACGAAAACTGAAAAATATAACGGCACTTTTTGTTTTGGACCTGCATATCAACATTACGCTGTACTATTATGTGTTTGTTGTTGAAATAATATAAAATATCTAATTATAACTTGTAAATTTTAATATTTTAACATTATTTTAACTACTTTTGACAATAACTAACTTTTTGTTATCAAGATGACATTTTAGACGGCAACTGACATATATGTCATAATATTTGAATCTTAAATACGTATGTAATATAATTTAAATTACTATAATGCAACTTTATACTAAGAAAACATTTATACATTCACAAAATACAACAAAGTCTAATAATATAGTTTGAAAACAATGAATATTGAATTAAAATTGCAAAAGTTAAGCGCGACCCCTTGTGTCAAAATTAGATGATTAAATTTTCGCAATTTTTACACCATTTGATGACCGGTGGCGCCTCTAGTGTTTGTTCGGGCGGTTGGGCTTTTACTCCCGCTTATGGCCATTAAAGAAAAAGTTCTAAAGGGGGATGTTTTGTGCTCAAAACTCACAACTAAAGAGACAGCTTTATTTATTTGTCAAATTACATAGAAACCAACGCCAACCTAGCACAATATTTTTTCTACTCGTAATAAATTCCTTGAAATAATAATTTCTGAATATTTTTTAAAACGTAACTTGCTATGGAAAAAAATAATGTTTTATACACGACGATAAAATTGCATTATCATCTCCCGAAATTAATTCACCCGCGATTTCATCGCTCGTGAATTAATATTTTCGGTCGACGATAAAATACCATTTTATCGTCTTGTATAAAAGATAACTATTAACTAAATAAATACAGGTGTCTGTGAATAAAACGTATTACATTCATCTATCAGTTGAATTTTATCAACACAAGAAAACTAAACATTTTTGCGAATATAAAATGACCCTTAAAACACTTGTATAATAAAAAACTATTTCTTTTCAGATTATTTGTACATGGACTTATTTGGTAATATCGTATTACTTAACTGGGCAACCTTTGGACAACAGGGCATACTTGTTTGTTCTTTTTGTCACTATTGGTACGCTTTGTGCCCAGTCTATGGGATATTTGATAGGAGCCACTACTACGACCAAGGTACTGCTTGATTTTTTACTATAATTATATTAAATACTGTCACATACAGAGTGAGCCCCCGATTGACAATTTTATTTTTCCTCATTTGAACCAGTTATAAATTACAAAAATATATTTCGGGGACACTAAGCGTCGGAATTATAACGTAAAAGTGTAGACAGCACAACAAATTACATTTGACAATGATAAAATCATAAGTTGACAGCTTAAGCTATTTTGACATTTGTCCCTAGATCATATATATTTCCGTAGATAAGTAAATCACTATGGAAACTGTCGCAAACGTATCAACGACTTCCATTTATCTTTTTTTTTGTTGCACACGCGGTGCTTCTACTCCATCTATCCTTGTCGAGGACCTGTCATCCGCGCGCCAAATTTGAACATTAATTTTAAAATTAAATTTATTTTTTTAAGCAATAGGTACTATTTTTTTATTATTTATTAAAAAAATAGTATTACTTTAAGTAATTTTTATTAAAAAAATCATTTTATTTTAAGTCTATGAAAAAAATAAAAATGTTTTTCTTTAATGAAAAAGAAACATTAATGCCATACTTAATTAAAAAAAGACTTAAGATACTGTCAAGGTGTATTACTGATTGCATAACTGCATACTGCTAAAAAATCGCAACGTGCATTGAGGAACCTGGCGCATTCGCCAGAAAGTAAAGAAAATTATAGAATTCTTTAGAAAAATCTAGAAACAACCGCCAGGGGGTATATAAGGCCCGCGCTTTGACAGTTGGACAAGTTTGAAGTTTGAAGTCTGAAGTCTGAAGATAGTCTGAAGTTTGAAAATACCGCGAAATACCGTTAGAGTAATAGTAGTTGCATAAGTTGTGTTGTAAATAGTATAAGTTGTTGTGTACAGAGTGAAACAAATAAATTCGTTAAGTATTTTATCGTGAGTTTAAATAGTGGACCCACGGAATCCGTAACAATTGGTGTCGGAAGTGCGATTCAAGAGGATTTTAAGCAGAAATTAAGTGGATTGGAAGATTTTTAGACCGAATTAGAGTATTTTTATGGTTGGTACAAGGGAACAAGCGAAGAAAATGGAGGAAGTAAGCAAATTATTGGGCGATTTTATGGAGAATATGAGAAGAGAGAAGGCAGAAGAACAAGAAAGACTCCGTAAAGAACGAAAAGAAGAGCGAGCCCGACTAGAAAAAGAGAAAGCAGAAGAACAAGAAAGACTCCGTAAAGAACGAGAAGAAGAGCGAGCCCGATTAGAAAGAGAAAAGGAAGAGGAAAAACTACGACGTCAACAAGAACAGGACCGGCTTGAGAACATTTTCGAAGATTTGAAAGTTCAACGACAACAAGAGAAACAAGAAGAACAGGACCGGCTTGAGAAATACTGGGTAATTTGGAAATTCGTTTGGAGGAGCGACGTCAAAAAAGAAAGACAAGAAGAACAGGATCGTATTCAGAAAATTTTAGAAAATCAAGGAATTAGACAAGAACGGTTGGAGAAAATTGTTGAAGATTTAGAAGTGCGTCGCCAGAAAGAAAAATTTGAAGATCAGGACCGTCTTAAGAAAACTTTGGAAAATCAGGAATTTCGACTACAGAAGAATTTTGAAGACCTGGAAAAACGGCAGGAAAATCAACTTCAAGAAGCCGTAGAAGATCTTGAGGAACGCCTTCAGCAGAAAATGGAAAAATTAGAGATGGACCTACAGAAGACCAAGGCACAAGTAAGAACACCTGACGTTCATGGAACTGCGAACCTCAAGGCCCCGACCTACGATGGACAAACCACCTGGACGATGTACCACCGCCAGTTTGAAGCAGCGGCTGCTGCCAATGGATGGACTGACCAGGAGAAAGCAGCGGCACTTGTCATCGCGCTGCGTGGCCCTGCCCTGGAACTCCTGCAAACTATTCCTGCAGCCCAACAGCAGGAATACCAAACTTTGGTAGCTGCACTGGACAGAAGATATGGCGACCAACATCGACGCCAACTTTACCAGGCCCAGATCAAGTCACGCCTGCAGAGGTCCGGAGAGAGTCTGCAGGAATTTGAAGCAGACTTACGTCGGCTGGTACACCTGGCATATCCAGAAGCACCGGAAGGATTTAGGGAGAAACTCGCTGCTCAGTGCTTTATCAGCGGACTGAGGGACAACGAATTGCAGAGGGCGCTGCAAATATCCCGATTTTCTACCAGCAGGATTTCTACCAGGAAGCACTGGTCAGGGCGCTGGAAATCGAAACTGCTTTTAGCACCATCCCTAGACCGAAGATAAGATCGGTAACGGTCGAGGAACAGCCCGGAAGTTCTCACATACGTTTGGAGGAGATGTTTAGTAAACTATGTGAGCTACTAGTGAACAAGAGTAGCAACAACACCCAGACAGAGAACCATAGAAGATCCCACTTCTGACACCAATTGTTACGGATTCCGTGGGTCCACTATTTAAACTCACGATAAAATACTTAACGAATTTATTTGTTTCACTCTGTACACACAACTTATACTATTTACAACACAACTTATGTAACTACTATTACTCTAACGGTATTTCGCGGTATTATCAAACTTCAGACTATCTTCAGACTTCAGACTTCAAACTTTAAACTTGTCCAACTGTCAAAGCGCGGGCCTTATATACCCCCTGGCGGTTGTTTCTAGATTTTTCTAAAGAATTCTATAATTTTCTTTACTTTCTAGCGAATGCGCCAGGTTCCTCAATGCACTTTGCGATTTTAGCAGTATGCAGTTATGCAACCAGTAATACACCTTGACAATATGTAACATTTGCCAAAAACTTTTCCAACTTCCCAGCTCTTTCAAAAATATAAAATCAGATCCCTGCAAAATATTTATAGTATACAAACTTGCTCAATCATTCATCAAACTATAAAATTAGATAGACATCTAATAACAACATTTAACACAAAAGAACGAATGTACATACTCATAATACTAGGAACTGTAGTCAAATAGAACCATTAAGACCAAGCAATAATACTGGTGCTAATTCTTTATTATTTAAAGGCATAAGTATGTATAACAATTTACCTAACAGCCTAAAACAATTAAATAAATAAAAAATTAAACAATAAGGCAGCCAATATTTGGATAGTTCAAACGATGCATAACCCTGTATATGATAATTCAATATTTTTTCTTAATTTTTCAGATTGCAGTCTTCATTGCACCCATCCTAGCCTGTCTATTCTCAGTCTTCGGTTTCTGTATCCGTCTCTTTGACACACCCTACATCTTTAGATGGCTTTTTTTCATCAGTTACTTCAGAGCAGCCTTCCATGGAGTCGTGGTATCAGTCTACGGGTTCAACAGAAACGATCTCTACTGCCCAGAAGAAGCAGTCTACTGCCACTACCAAGACCCTGTGAAATTCCTCAAGGAAATGGACATTGTTAATGTGGACATAGTGTTGAATATATCACTAGTTTTGGTGATATGGTGCCTGATGAACACTGCCACATATTTGACGTTATGGATTAAGCTGAATAAAAGATAAGGTTTTGAAGAAGTAGGAAAAAGGATCAAAGTATATAGGTCTGTGATAGATTCTTTTAGATGACGCCTTGAAAAACATTTTTTTTGGGTGTGATGCATAATTTAATTTAATTTATTCAGATTTTACTAAAGACAATGCGTTTTAATTATAGTTTTGATGAGATTTGATATTGATTAAAAATTCGTTGAAATTGATTGAACTTTTGAATTAAAAAGCATAAAAAATTTTAAATCTTGTAAGAGATAAACATGGTAGAGATTTGTGATTAAAAATGTGATACAGTCTTGACATATAACACCTACTTTTATACAGGGTCCGGCAATAGTGCGTAATTTGTTTAAGTGCAAACCTAAAGTATGTACCAGGATGTATTTCAGGAAAATATTTTAACTTCTATAGGGTGGCTCAAAAAGTGTGAGTGGACCTGGATGATTTTTTTTAAATGGAACACCCTGTATATTATTGCATTTTTGGCTTCCTTTCAGATCACTTTACATAACCCTAAGATATGAATAAATATATTTCGATAGTTTCAGAGATATTAAAAAATAAATCAAAAAGATATATTTTTCAGCCCTTCTTAAAAAAATTATTAAAAATACAGGAACTGTTCTGAAATCAAAACTATATTAGGTATTTACTTTAGATAGTCTGCACTTACTTTGCTATAAATATGAAAATCGTAAATTATACAGGATGTTCAAAATTCTACACCAAACTTTCTAAAATATAAAACAATTTTTCTTCGTTTTTTTCAATGGAACGCCCTGTATATTATTTTATCAATAGACGGAGAATTAAAAAATGAACATTTTTTGTATTTAGAGTATTTTAAAATTTATAACGGTTTCGCAGATATTTGCAGTTTTATATTTCATATGGCATTTTCCACAGTAAATTTTTCTCTCGTATTTTATCATTGAAAGCGCCATATGAAATAGTACTGCGTGTATCTGTGAAACCATTAAAAATTTTGAAATACTCTAAATACAAAAAATGTTCATTTTTTAATTCTCCGTCTAATAAAAAAATAATATACAGGGTGTTCCATTTAAAAAAAAACAAAGAAAAAATATTTTATATTTTAGAAAGTTTAACTTAAAATATTGAACATCCTGTATGATTACCATATTTATAGCAAAAGTAAGAACAGACCATCTAAAGTAAATACCTAATATAGTTTTGATTTCAAAAGTTCTTGTATTTTAATAATTTTTTTTAGAAGGGCTGAAAAATATACATTTTGATTTATTTTTAATATCTCTTGATACTATCGAAATATATTTATTCATATCTTAGGGTTATGTAAAGTGATCTGAAAGGAAGCCAAAATAAATAATGTACAGGGTGTTCCATTTAAAAAAAATCATCCAGGTCCACTCACACTTTTTTGAGCCACCCTATAGAAGTTAAAATATTTTCCTGAAATACATCCTGGTACATACTTTAGGTTCGCACTTAAACAAAATTCCCAAGTTTTTTATTCTAGGAGCTACAGATGCCCGACGCACTATTGCCGGACCCTGTATAATTTAGTATTAAACACGTAGTATAGTTATTATTAAAAAAAAAATACAATAATTCTATAAAAAGAATTAAACAATGACCAAAGAAATTATAGTAAATCTAAGAAAAAAATTATTTTATTCAATGACACTTGCCTTAGTTTTTGACAAATATATTTAAACCAAAGGGCTTAAAAAAATAAAATAAATGTATTCTACATAATATTTTTAAAAGTATTATATATTATATCTAAAATTATAAACAGTATAATTTTTTAGATAATTTAATATATTGTTTACGAATTTTAGATGATTTATTACGATATTAGCTTGTTTGATATTTATATTTGTTTTGTATATTGCTATATTAGTTTGGTATATTCTTGCCCAGTAGAAACTATTTTATATATGTACGTAATTTATATTTAGTAAAAAAGTATTTTCGATTAACATTTTTATTATTTTAATCAATAATATAGGAAGTTACACTAATATTTAAATCAAATTAATTTTTTTTTCTTTATAAAGGGTTTTATTTAGTTTATTTATATGGCAAATACAATTGCGTCATCATCTTTCTAACAGCTATTTTACAATTAAATTTTCGAAAAACATTATAATCATGAATAACAATACGAATTTAAATAAGTATAAATAAATATATCGTATAATACACGTTTTAATATACAATAGTAATAATAAGAATTATATTAATTCATGTTCGAGCGATTTAAAATAATAAAATAATATATATAAAATAAAAAAAACAACAAATACAAAGTACGAACATCTAAATGTTTAAATTACAATATCACAAAAAATGTTATATATTAATTATAATAGTAAAACGTAAAGTATATAACGTTATATTTTCCTATAATATAAAATATTATAGGTATAATAATTATACAGAAAGCTTGTATGGTTTCAAAATAATGTTTGAGATCAAATTTTTTTATTATCGTCAACTGGTATGAATTTAGTTGTCTGTTTTTGTTTGTTTATTTTTGTATTTAGTTTTTATTGTTGAAAAATATTTATCAATGATATACTAAACAAAAGCCAAAAAAAGACACGTGTATAATTTTACACCAGGTGACGTCTTTAAGGAAGCCAGTCTTAACACGTACAGGGTGAGTCAACGATAGAGTAAAGTCCATTATCTCAATTGTTTCGAGGTTTACAAAAAAATATTAAATATAAAAGTTATAGGTACGGTTAAGATATACATTTTAAAATTATTTTAGAGTATACAGGGTGCTTCAAAAAAGTGTGGCGAGTATAACATGTTTTTTTTTTATATGCAATACCTTATTTTTTATTTTATTTTTATATTCTGCGTAAAATTCCACAACTTTTTTATATATAATGTTGTATACCTAAAATTAATAGTCTATCTAATATTTCAATTTGTTTAAACAAATGTTAAATTGCAGTGTGGTAAAAAATAGTCAGTGGTGCCATTGTTTCTGAAATTGGAGTACCAAAATTTGGTAGGAGAATTTTATAGAGATGTAGAAAAAGACCTATGTAAAGATATTTTAGTTAGATGCTACAGGGTGTTGAAAATATATTTATGAACTTGAAGTACTTAAAATTAAGAAATTTCAAATTTTTTAAATGGTACACCCTATATATTATCATTTTTTCCGATAGATTTTACAAAACTCTTCAACTTTTATTAAGTATATCATATACCTATTTTTAATAGTTTGCGATTTATTCCATTTTTTTCTATTTTTACTTATATTTTTAATACAATTACGCTATAACATGATAGTTACCATGACAAAAAGTAATAATTATCAAAATTTCATGTCGGTTAAGCAAGATAGGAACAAAATTTTAATTTTAGTTTAATTTTTTGTGACAAGTTTTAATGGTAGAGATAATTATCTATATTAATCTATCAGAAAAAATAATAAGAATTTTTTAATTTTAAATAGTTGAAATTCATAAATATATTTTGAACACTCCGTATAATTTAACTAAAATATCTTTACATATATCTTTTTTCATCTCTATAAAACACTCCTACCAAGTTTTGGTACTCCAAACAGTTTTTTTACCACACTGCAACTTAATATTTGTTTAAACAAATTGAAATATTAGAAAAACTATTGAGTAGTATACAACATTATATTATTTAAAAAAGTTATGGAATTTTACGCACAATCTAAAAATAAAATAAAAAATAAGGTGTTGCATTTAAAAAAACATATGTTATATTCGCCACACTTTTTTGAACCACCTTGTATACTCTATAATGATTTTAAAATCTTAACCTTCCCTATAACTTTTATATTTAATTTATTTTGTAAACCTCGAAACAAATGAGATAATGGACTTTACTCTATAGTTGACTCACCCTGTACAAACAATTTTAGTTTGCTTAAATAAGTTTTGAAAATAGGACTATACGTTAATGTAATAACAGCAAAAATGAATCTTTTCGGAAGCTCTAATGGAAGAATATAAGAGTAACTTTATTGATCCCTTGCATCGAGGTTTGATATGCAGGATAAACAATAAGATTTTTGAGTTTTTCTTTTGAATAAAATTTATTTAGTATAGTACTTTAATCAAAGAGCTGATTAATGAGACTAATAGTGTATTGTTAAAAAATGTATTGCACACCTCTGGCTATCTTGAAGTCTGAGACATTATTTAAAAAACTGAAAAGCAGTTCTTCCTTTTTTTAATTCAACATTCCAAGATTCTCTTAAGTTCCAAGATGTGACTTCTCTTTAATTCAACAGTTCCAAGATCTAGCCGTGTAGCTCTTAACAAACATACCCTTTACCCAGACAGTTCCCAGTCGGTAATTTTTATATCTAATTTTACTTTGTAAAAGTTTAAATATTTAGATATTCAGATATTTTTTAATAAAATAAATTTTACTAAAAGAAAAACTCGGAAACTCTATTATAAAAAAAATAATAACAGTTAAATAATCATGTCGATTCCATGAGTAATATAATGTTATACTGGCAATTTTGTAGAGAAAAAAATATGAAATAAGTAATATAATAAATAATAAAGTTATTTATACAATATGATACTGATTATATCGTGATAGTCAACTGGTCTACAAAAATATCTTTAAAAAATCTAAAAAAAATAATTAAAAAAGCCGTCATAGTAGCTTTTAGTTGAGTTTTATTTTGTTTTCCTATAACATTATACCACTCTAAGTTAAAATTTTGCTTGATTTTGTACAGGGTGTTCGATTTTGGTTGAAATCATATATTGGTATCTCCGTTATTAGTAAAGATATGAGGATGCGGTTTGCACAAACCTGTCCCACTTTTTTGTCAAACGGAAGATGCTGTAAACAAAATTTTCATAGCCCTCTTCATTTTTAAACTACAAAGTCTTTTCGAAAATTTTGCAATTTGGGGCAGCCCCCCTATCTCAGTTATTGTGGATGATATCGAGAAAGTGAAAACTGATTCTTGTAGAACTTTCCACGTAGAATACAGTGGCGTAGTCTGTTTTTCGAAATTAGCTGAAGAAATATCTAAAAGTTCCAGAACGATAGCTTCCAAGGTTTACAAATAACGGCAGAAAGTTAAGTTTCCCTAATATAAAAAGAACTTATTAGTGACTCCCAAAATAAAACAAGAGACAGATAGCAATATACAGGATGTTTCAAAACAAATGCGAAAAACTTCGGGGGGTGATTCC